ATTTCAGAATTGCGATAACTCTGTATTCCCATATTCCTGAGAATACAGGGTTGGTCTCAACTCGGAGAAAATGTTAAATGTTAGCACTATTGTACTACAAAATTTTCTCGTGCTTTTTTTGTGTTTAATGGCATGTTCTCGTGGTCTCTAAATTGTGTTTGGTCAAGTCTTTGCGCAAGAGAATTCATTTGTCAAATAAAGCAGCGGTTTTTCGCTATGAACTCGAAACTGGAGTATATTCTCGTTATGTTTTGATTCAAAAAATGAAATTGATGGAAAAAATTTATTTCGATGAACAACAACAACAACAACGCCGTTGCTTTTTATCGGTTATTTTTGTTCAGTGTTCGAGTGTTTTGATTGGTGGAAATGAACAGCAGATCACGGAATGTTTTTTTTGTGTGCCACTATTCTGTTCAATTAGTGTTTTCCAAAAAGACAAGCCAAGGGAAACTTTCTTTAGAGTTGACTTCCCTGTAAAGTAAATTGAATTCGTTGGTTTGATATATGTAGCATTTTGATTTTCGGGGTTTGATAGTTTCAAGAAAGCAAGATCAAGTTAACTTGTATAAAAGGTAAGTTTGAGCCTTAAAAGCCAAGAAAAAAACCCCTCAATATTCTAACAGTGTTATTAGTACCTGCATCTTGTCAGAATTCGACTCTCTTTTTTTGATTAGAATTTGACCTCTTTTTGATCGCGTACTCTGTCGCAATTCATCCTCTTTTTCCACCTCTTTTTCGATTCTGTATTTTCATTTTTATTTTATATACCAAGATATATCGTTCCATTTAATCAGATTATTATGAAACTTTAATTTTATATACTCGATCGTACAAGTTAAGGAGAGGATTAAAAAAACTTTTTCTTCAACGACAATTAATACACGGCCAGATTTTCTACGAAAACATTGACATTGGAACAAAATCATTGAAAAGCAAAATTCAAACAACAAAATTTAAAAAAAGACAACAGCAAGCAAAAATAAAAAAACAACAACAACTTTTGTTGACAAAATTTTCGTCATAAATTGTTGTGAGTATCCATGTTGACATCATAACACAGCCATGATGACATCATAACCCAGCTACTAAACGTCATCAATTACGCAAAGCCAGTTAATACTCCTAATTAATTAGTTAAAATTTAATTTAGGTCCATATTATGAAAAAAAAGACAATAGGCCGAATAGTTACTATTTTTGAAAGAATCGTTTACTATTTTTAGATCAAACAATTGCACTAATTAAAAACGTCAAGATATAAATAACAATGATTTTCAAGCCTTTTTTAGAATTTTTATTACTTATTTAATTTTGAAATTCTTTTTTTTTGTAAATCAGCAAAATGATGTCGTTAATGGCAGCTCGTCGTACCCAGTCCCCTCGCCGCATCGAGATACCAGTAGTTTCTGCTGCCAGATTTCCAGAAGCGCGTTCAACCATAAATGGGCAGTCCTTGTCAACCCATCTCCAGTATTACCACCGAWTCTACATGAACTCGTATCCAGTCTTGGTCGAACCTTCAAATCACATTTCCTATGGCAACTATTACCATGACGACGATGGCCAAATCACACAGAGAAGTTCTAATTCAAGAGAAATCTTGCAGCAGAAGCCACGTTGTCCAGTTTGTTGCAAGAATTTTAATCGCCAATCRGCACTGACGGTAAGCCCTTATGATAAATCGATCGATGAAGACCATCAATTCGGTCATGGCCGACCAATTAATGCAATCAACTTGATCACCAACCGAACAACTAACAAACCGACCGAACAACAAATGGCAACCAATCATCAAACCGACCGAACAACCAATGAACGACCAATCAAATGACCGACCGACCGACCAAACGACCAATTTAATCAATTTCATCACCAACCGAACAATCAACAAACCGACCGAACAACAAATGGACCATCTAAACGACCAATACTCCAGTTTCTAGATCTTATTTGTGCAGTCTTTAACCTCGAAATCATTTAGCAGAGAATCTATTGTAATGCAAACACTCTGTGTACAAAGAAGACAATCAAAAATTTATGCTTGATTGAAGCTAAGCTTACACAATCGAAACTGGAGTATTCATCCATTGACCAATCAAATCAATATTTTGAATGACAGGTATCAATGATTTGATTGACAGGTCCACATGAGAATACACACAGGTGAACGTCCATTTGTTTGCCCAGAATGCAATAAGGCCTTCACTCAGTCTGGTAACCTTACCGTTCACATGAGAATCCAC